CTCAAACAGACTCAATAGTTCCATACGTGAACCGTTAATCCTTGCAAATTCGTAATTATTATCCGGCAACGGAAATCGCGCTTCTTCGGGGACAAAACTATTCTTGATAAAACTAATCGGAGATTCCGAGTCTAACATTGCGCTTAACGGGTAGTTACAAGAGTGATTGTTCTTGTCAACTATATCACGTAATTCATGCGTAATTTGATGTAAATTTTTTATGTATAACTAGTTCGTGTTTAATTTCTTTAAAAATCCCCATGTTTTGTACAATTTAAAATTGGTTGGTAAATGAAATTGCATAATCATCGATTATGAAAGTAATGTAAGTCCAATTTTGGCATCATAGAAATGGCATTCATCAAATCAATATCTTGTAATTTTAACAATGTAATTCGCGTCTAAAATTAAAAATACTACTTCTATTTTATATCGTGTCGTGAACAGGAGTCACTTGTTTATAAATAAAAAATAACTTTTAGTTCGCAACAATCTTTAAAATCAAAATGAGATACTTTATTCGTAAAGAACAGAAATGTTTTTCGTTGTTTACGAGTTAACGGAAAAATGTATACAGTGATTTTTGAAATTAGGTCGGATTATAAGTTACTTTTTTATAGAGTGTTACTAGAGGAAAACTGGTACGAAAAAGTATTACATGGTTTATCGAGGCCGATCTGCAGTAATCGTGGTTTTTTTAAGCAACTCGATGCGCCTGCAAGAAGCGATCGCAGCTGCTGTTATTCTTGTTTCATTGAAATTGATACTTAAAGGCATTCATCAAGCTGTTTACTTTCATATTATACCATCACACATTTGTTGTAAAATCTAAATTTACATAGCTGAGATATTTTACTTCATATCAAAGAAGACGTATGACGAGATGTTTTGCTATTAAATATTCTAGTAATTAATTGTTGTATGTTGGAAGAAAACGTTTTAATTATATCAATTTGATACCCCAGCCAACAATTTTTTACGATAAATACAATATTATCTAAAAGTAAAACATGAACGTCTCATTCTAAAGGTTGTTTGAAGAAAAATGTTTGCGTCTAACGTTTTAAATTGTAGTTTCTGTGAAACGTTTAAACAATCAAGAATTTTTCTAATTTATCCGTGTCTAGGCTTGCAATAATTGGAAAAAAATTCATACGAGCGAGATATCAAATGGCGAGCTGCGAGTTGGCTAGGCTGGCGGAGAGTTTTCAATTAAGAAATATTTTCCGCGGAGAATTGCGGACCTGCGGAAGCTTAGTTTCGTTACAATTAATCACGCAAATTGGAATTCATGGCAGGCTGCCATTCCGACCTGGTTAGTAGCGAGAGCAAAGCAACTAGCGAGCCCTTTCACGCGCTAAAGATACCGTATATCACTTAATTATTACGTTGTTATACGTGAAATGTCTTTTTCTTTAAATACACCAGATGTTTCTTCATTATCATGCATTTATCAGGTATTTTTCACACTCCTAAACGATTATTAATATTACTGTGTAGCACATTTAAAATCTAAACTGATTATACAAAAATTTGCTGATCATCTATGTGGCACAATTACTATTAATATTATG